TACTATACCGTCAACGGGGATACCCTCGAGGTTGTCGCGAAACGACTGAACATCACGACTGAGTCGCTCATGAGTGACGATACCGGCTTCTCGGCTGATGAGGTGCTTGCTCCGGGTCAGTACCTCAAGGTGCCATTGTGTTCTCCAAGTGAGTGCGTGATTCGGCCGTTCACGTTGGAGTATGGTGTGTACAAGGACTATGCAGACAAGTACAACACCACTGTGGGCCAGATCATGATGCTCAGCCCAACCTACAACTACAGCACGTCGCCGCTGACTGGTGCTGGACGTCCGTCACTGGATCTTCCGTACAAATGTACTACTCTGTCAAGCAACATCACTGTGCTATCATGAGTTCAGTTGTTGCTATTGATACTAGTTATTGGCCATTATGTGTCTGTTGATGTTCTTTTGTTCGTGTCGTGTAGTATAGTCTTTGCCTGCGGTGCGCCTGTGAGAGGCTCAATGACTGTGGAAATACTCAATTATACTATCTTGAGCGCCTATTCAAAATTTCTTCCCGCCATGTTTCAGAGTGTCTGTAAATGCTGCGGAAGCCTCTCTGGTGGATGATTCGCTAGGACATCACTGCATGCGAATTTAGAATGCTTTGATCCACGCACCCACATGATTAGGAGCTGTCATCAGCCTATTAAACTCTATCTGCATACGAGTCTTACCGTTGTAAATGCAAGTAACTCACAAATCCCCAGAAACGATTCTAACTATAACGCAACGTAATCAACGGTTGGGCGGCCCGCCCCCCTGCCCGAATCGCTCGATATCTTCAAAATGAAGCCTTTAATTCAACCCAAACGCTTATGAAAATGCTATATAATTAAAAACTAGGTGGTTTCAAACACTGTGTACGTCGGTGGCCAATAGTGAAGCAATTGCTGCAGCGTGGAGGAGCGCGCGAGGGGATCTGCGTAGGTAGAGGTTGAGATTCAACCTCAATATCTTCGTCATTTTGCACCTCCTGTTCCTGTTGGATTGCACTCTGAGCCTCTTCAACGGTAGTGCCTTCTGTATAGACCACTTGCTGCCTCGAATGCTTCCTCTTTTGTAGCTGCTTTGCAAGGCTAGCGCGTAGTTTCATATTCTCCTTAGCCAGTATGATCGAGTTCGTTATCATTAGCTCGCACCCTTTGAGGAGCTGACGTATTGTAGAGTGAGTAGGTGAAGTTGGACTTGCTTGCCGTTTCCGAAGTAGCTGTTCCACCGTGTTCTGATACTTCAAAAGATATCTTATGTGATGTGGTGTTTGAAGCACTGAGCCACTTGACTGACTACCTGGAGTAGGTGGTGTTTTAAGACGAATATTAAGCTGGGAGAGTACTTGATCAGGATCCAGGGGAACAAGACCTGTTGCTCTAAATCCGCTGATGATATTTGACTTTGTGAAAGCTTGTTGATGTGCTTTAGGATAGACTTCTAGGAAGTCAAGCTTGTCAATATCATCACGGCCGTGTTGTGCTTGCTTTTGAATCATGCCTCCGTACGCGCATTTATGCACATTAAAACAACCAACATCCAGAGGTTGAAGTAGATGGGATGAATGCGCAGGCATACAGATAGGAATAACATCATTCTCAGTGCAGGTTTGATCAAATTCAGGAGTCAAATGACTGCCATGACCGTCAAGCACTAGGAGACTGTATTTCCCCACTGATTTGCCTCTAATCCACGGAATAAAGTGTTCTTGAAGCCATCGAAGGCTAATCATATCAGTGGTCCAACCGTTATCACTGGCTTCAATCCTCCAAGTAGGAGGAACGGATCGACCTTCATACCAGGCCTTGAGGTGTGTTTTGCCTTTGAAGATCAGAGTCGGAGGTAGAACTACCCCATTAGACCGAATACACTCAATTGAAGTGATCCATTCCCGATTCCCTGGTTGAACTAGAGACGGCCGGCCAGCTCTCTGGGAACTAGTTACTACTTCAGCTGTAGCAATTATCCCCATAGCAAACCCTGTTTCATCAAAATTATAGATGTCATCTGATGAGATCCCGTACTCTTGTATAACTTCCTGGACCCGATTGAACCAGTCTTTTATAATCTCAGGATCCTCCATCTTAGCTCTTTTATGACTGTATCGTCTAGCGAAGCGGGTTCGGAGAGTCTCATGGCGTTTGACAAAGTTATAGGCCCAGTTGATGCCTACCTCTTCGGGAGTTGTATGACCTCGTTTGGACAGGATTAGATTGGCCATATTTCTGACTTCAAGCGGCCGGGGACTTGCGCCTCGCTTATCTAGAGATAATATCCATTTAACAAGCGCATCCTCTTCGTTTTTCGATAATTTTTGACGTGCATGGACTATATCTCTAACAAAATCACGTCCAGATAGTCGAGCGCGGAGGGTGGTTCGAGGAACATCATAAACACGCGCTGCCCCGCGAATACTGGCAATTTGGCCTTTCTGAATAGCTTTAATGGCTAGAAGGATCCTGCCTTCCTGTTCCATCTGCGCTTTTGATGAGATAGGCGTTTTTGGTGGCATCTGTAGTGGTCGAATGGCTTCGGGTAGGAATTCGAGGTGGTGTTTTCGATGGGGTGGGCCGCCCAACCGGTGATTACGTTAATCGGTAGGGGATGTGAAAATAAGCCATGACATAAGCCGTCCCAGTCTAACCCAAATAGGCATATCAATCAAATCTGATCTCCGCACCCTGAGCCCTTTCAACGCTTCTCGCTGATTTCCCTCTTGTCCGCCGCCATCTCCATCTCCATTGTGCCTCAATTCTCATCTGATTATCATCATCATCAAAATGACCGATCCTCCTCAGACTATCCCTCTTCACCACCTCCCCTCGTCCATCTCCTACAATGCTGCCACCACCACGGCCCTGGAGTCTCACCTCAGCACGTCCGACGAGGAGTCTAGCCCACCTCCGCGTTACACCCGCGAGAATGACCCCTTCCAACTAGCTTCAAAACTGAAAAGTCCCGAAGAAATCGCCCGGATGCAACCCCAAGCCAACATTTCCCGCAAGCGTCACACCTCCGGCTGCCTCCCCCACAGCGCCAATCCCCGCAATGCACTCGCTTCCTCCCTAGCCTCTAAACAACTGCAAACCTTCTACGAGTCCCAGAATGAGAACATTCAACGCATGCTCAAGCCCGTCGAAGAACACGTTCGCGATGCCCGTGAAACAAACAGCAGCAACCAGCTCAAGTACAAAATCGCCGTCTGGGGCTCCTTCGCCGCCAATGTCATCCTCTGTGTTCTGCAACTCTACGGTGCCATTTCCTCCAGCTCTCTCTCCCTGTACACAACCATGGCCGACGCCGTCTTCGATCCTCTCTCCAACATAACCCTCCTCGTTTCCAACAAAGCCGTCAACCGCGTCGACCCTCGTAAATTCCCCGCCGGAAAAGCTCGCATCGAAACCGCCGGCAACATCTGCTTCTGTTTTCTCATGACAGCCGTCTCATTCATCCTCATTGCTTTCTCTATCCGCGAACTCGCCGAAGGATCCAACTCCGAGACGGGATCTTTCCACCTGCCCTCCGTTCTCGCCGTCATCGTTGCCTTTTGCACTAAATTCGTGCTCTTCCTGTACTGCTTCGCGCTAAAGGATCAGTATTCCCAGGTCATGATCCTCTGGGAAGACCACCGCAATGACCTCCTAATCAACGGATTCGGTATCCTTACCAGCGTAGGTGGTGGTAAACTACGCTGGTGGATTGACCCCGCGGGAGCTATTGTCCTCTCCGTGCTTGTCAGTTGCTTGTGGCTGTTTAGCGCGTATCGCGAGTTCCAATTGCTTATTGGTGTTACGGCCGATACGAAGATGCAACAGTTAATTACTTATATCTGTGAGCTTATATTCCTCCCTTACCTCAGTCCACTTCGTTTGTAGGTGAGCGATAAAAGCTAATGACGTATAAAAAGCAATGACCCACTCCCCCCTCATCACCGCCATCGATACCGTCCGTGCATACACCTCCGGCCCTCGATTGCTTGTGGAAGTTGACATCGTCATGGACCCGAACGATTCGCTGCGGGCTACACATGACGTCGCAGAAGAACTGCAAATGAAACTGGAGTCGTTGCCGGATGTGGAGCGGGCGTATGTACACGTGGATTACGAGACGACGCATAAGCCGGAACACTTCTTGAAGAAGGAGTTGTAAGTGTAGGTGACTGCTTGTTTGCCTATTCGCTTATGGCTGGATGGTATATATGGTTTATAATAATATAGTTGTATCTGGATGGCATATGGATATGGATACAAAAACGGTAAATAGTATAATATAGAGATCAAGAACATAGTCACGTGTATAGTATCTAATTGTCAATGCAGGGATAGAACGTACATGTTGATGGTGATTGCTGGATGGCAGGAAACCCTGAAGATGAAAGCCGATGACTCAGGGTGATGAACCCTATCACTACAATACATTCACTGGATACAGATACCATTTGGGTAAACTTTTCCTCGGTGTAGTCCCAAGTGTGAATGACGCTCCTCACATGACTCAAGGCCACCTCTTTGTCCTCCAGGCTCCATGTTTTCCCTCTGTAATAGCTGCTAGGTTATGAGTTCGACTAGCTCATAATATAGCCAGATACGCCAATTCCGTCAATTCCCTGATCTTGCAGACCCCCTGCAGCTGACCGACCTTCCGAGCCACAAGCAACGCCAAAAAAGAGCCAAGCAGACCGCGGACTAGACCGACCTCCCGCATAATATGGCATACATTGGGGGAGGACAATCAGCACCGGCTGTGGATCACAATTACCAGAATGGGCGATCCCTAATTGAAAGCCCACCTGCTATGATTTCGGACCTCCGTGACCAGTTAACTGGCATTGAATATTATGACATTTGGCGATCTTAGGTAGTCAATAAGCTCAAAACGATGGGCTGCGCTCAATATATTGACATAAACATACCCCGAGCGGCCCCGAATACTCCAGGCTATGAATCGTGGGAAGACTGGAGTATTTTCATTTCGTCCTGGCTCATTAGCCAAGTCTCACCACAGATATGCAGAAAGCTATAGGGAAGGTCTCCGAAATCGATAATGCTGATGAAACCTACGAACACATCCATAAGGCAGTCTTGGACGAAGCACCCAGGAAACGCAAGGGAGTTGCTAGCAAGCTTCACAACATGCGGCGGATTTACTACGCTTCTGTTTCTCAATACATTGAAGATTTCATGAAGACTTGTGATCTGGCTCATCGACTAGGTTGTGGATATGAACCATATTTTGCGGCTCTTGTCCTGCTCATCAACCTACGATCTGACATGCCGGAATGGTGTGACATTATTGATCAGCAACTTGAGGGATATGACAACTTGAACTACGCTGCTGATCATTTCCATGATCTATGTAAGGAGGCCTTGGAAAAAGCTGAAACAGCAGATGTGTCTGCCTTGTCAGAGACTTCATCAAGAAACCGGAGGAAGCAGGTGTCGAACAAGAAAAAGGCAGCTTAGTAAATCAACAAATGTTCTTTAGAACCATACATGCTGACCTCCTCAAAACCTGGATTAAGGCTAATTGGTTTGACAGCATCTTATGCAGGATAAGGTCCCTGGCTAGCCACGCGCAACTAAGAATCAGATTTACAAGGCAGTGTGATTCACAGTGTTCGGCCTGCAGTCTTCTCACTCATTTTCCTGGATGATACAAGACTCGTATATTATGATATTATGAGGTAATTAGAGCAGTAACCTGATCTCCGGAGCCATATCTAAACTATTCGGTTATCTGCATGCTTCCGGCTCATGAGTGACACCCTATGGTTTCTCAAGATACAGTATATCTGTGAGCGTGTTAGCTGTGTACACACAAGAAGAGGAACCCATTCGGAATGTTGCATTTGAAAAAGGAGCTAATGGCGATAAGCTTACTGTATTGGTTCTTGGATGCCCATGCATCACCAACAGCCAATTCTGCCCTCCGGCACAACGCATCCCTGTCATCAGCATCGTACTTATGACTCTTGACTGCCAATATCCTCCGGCCCGCCGGAATAGTCTTGCCCGCCAGAGAAACATCTTCTGAAGGGAAATAGTACTGGTTATGGCTTCCCTGCGCTGCATCCCAGCAGCCAATGACAGCCCATTTGTCGAGATCAAAGGTATCCGGCCCTAGGATCTCGTTGGCGCGTTCAAGGCCGTGCTTGATGAATCGCCGATTGATCCCCTCGGGATCGTTATAAGCTGCCAGCACGCGATCGGCGTCTTTGCATCCGTCCAAGCCAATGAGCAGTGACGAGTTACTTTCGGGGGTGACGAAGCTAGCCAAAAAATCGGCTGCTTCTGGCCGCTGGAAACTGCCCAGTGTTGATCCCAAGGAGAGAATGGTCTTGGATCGCGAACGGATTTCGGGCAAATACATCCAGTCCCGACCATCGTCGTAGGTTCCCAGCAACCCGAAGCAGCGGACATGGCGGAATGTCCCCGGGGGCACGATGCTGAGAGTCCGGTGGAGCTCTTGATACGATACATCCAACGCGAAGTAGTCAACTTCCCGACCCATTTCATCCAGAGCATCTAGAAGTATCTTGATCTTGCGGAGATTTCTGATTGTTAAATCAGCGCAGTTGCCTCTGCAGGTGAGAGGTTTGGACGCTTACCCGCTGCCTAGCTCGACCAACATACTACCAGACGGAATGTGTTCTGCGATCTGGTATTTGTGCTTCTCGAGCAAGCCGATCTCTTCGTTGGTGAGGTAGTAGGATGGAGCATATGTCACGTCTTCAAAATAGCGTAGTCCCCTTTCATCCCAGAGGAGAAGCTCCGGCATGGCAGACTCCCCGTGACAGGCCGCATGGATGGAGTCTTCGAGCGAATGGCGGAGCCGTGTCTCTGCTTTATCGCTGCGGATATCGATGATATTGGTCGCAACGGCCGGTCTTGCGACTGTCTGAACCCGAGGTACTCGCCCACGGACGTGGGGTGGTGACACGACACTTTCGAACATGTTGCAGAGCTAAACGAGCAGCAAAGTCTATGGGATAGTCTATATGTAGCGAGTTCAAACAACGGATACATTCAGTGTTCATCTGCAAGCCGGGCGGCTATTTATGTAGTACTGTGCGAACTTCCCAATAGGAAGATCCTGATTGACGAACGCGTTTTGAGACTCCGTGATGCAATATTTTGCTATGATCGCTCGATCGAGATAAGGATGACTTTGCTTCCATGATTGGCTCGATCCGCTGAGGTCATTGATCCGAGCCATGGACCCTGACATTCTAGCCGCATCCAGCCACATGCGACAGCCAAAGTCGATGACCTTCGCTACTTTTGTAATTGTGGGTCCTACCGTCATCCCATAGAAGAAACGAGCCTGCAACGTAGCACAATTTAGTAATTCTGAGATTTGCAGGATGCTACGTGCTGTGGCTGCAGTGATCTACGAATCGTTGGACCTGGGGGCGTCAACGGGAATGCCAAGATATCCCGAAATACCCAGTTAGATCGACATGGGAGTGGAGAGGAAATATGCGAATCCCAGCCTTGCCTATTATTTACTCTTGATTTCGTACATTATGCCCATTCAGGAACACAGTGACGCAGGTGGCATTGTCACTACTGGGTGCCTTTGAAGCTTTCTCGGTGATTTTCGCGGCTACCCTGTCAGCATCCATTCCCTCTTGCTTGCTCCCTGCGATCTGGTGCATGATGGTTTCGTCATCCATTGTACTGGTAACCCCGTCTGTTGTCAGGGCCAAGAAGTACCGACGATCCGGCTGCAGAGTATATCGTTTAAGAGAAGGGTAACTGGAGACTAAGTCCCCCTTCTTTGTTGGTTCGAAGCATGCTTTCTCCTGATTGGTGGATAGGGACTGCTCCCCGATATTCTTTAGCGGCGATTTATACTGTAAATCGCCCAGCGCCCGCGATATATTCAAGCCCCCTGCGGAAGTTAGGCTCGCAACCTCGTGTGATATGGGACGAGGAACTAACCAACTCGTGACACACCGCTCTCGGTGTTGAGAGTCCCTCCAGCGGACTCAATGCGATGCCTCTCCCCAGCATGTTCCGACTTGTGGGATGTGGTTAGTCGCTCCTTCATAACAGTTAGAGGACGCTGGTACGATCAACAGGCCTGTGACTTCTACATACGACTTTCAGCGAGGTGTGATCTGCCCCGTCGACCTCTCCCAGCAAAACATGCGAATCTCCCAGATTTGCGACTACTAAGATGCCCCTGGTTAGGTTCACGACGACGAGGGCGGCAGTTGATCCAGCTACGGCGAATAATTCCTCGCCAGCCCAAAACCCTTGCAGAAGCTCCTTCTCCTCTGCTTGAATTGCTTGTTCGATGGCTGATTCATAGTTTCCCTGCCTCAACTCTCTACTGATAGTCAGAAGCCGACGGATGTTCTTGCTTGCATGTTCTGCAACCTTATCTGAGGCACTTTTCCCTAAGTTAGTCCCGACTACCTTGCCAGAGGTGTGATGTGAATCCCATACTGTCCGTCATATACGGCAAAGAAAGCCAGACTGTCCGTGTGCCCCGAAAATTCGTCAGGCAGAAGGACGGTGTACCTGTCATCTTGAGTTGGCTTGGATCCAAGGACCTAGGGTTGATAAATAGTGGGATTAGCTCTGAGTTTTCGGATCCCTAGCGGGGAGCGTATCGTACACTACTGGCCCCGGCGCCTTGAAGGGTAAAGGTGGTTGTATATTTTGAAGCATCTGCCATGGCGTGCTAGTACCCTTCGATAGGAAAACACGAGAATCAAGATGCCGTGGTCACCTACGACTGGGGCAAACCCCCTGACTGCCTTGCATTCGGATAGCTTCCGGTCAGGTCCGGGGAGCCAGGGCTTCGTGCCGTCATTGCCCCGTCAGGGTTCCACTGTCGGGTTCCATCAAGTGGAACGTAATTCTGAAGTAAGGTGAGCCACAACAATCTGACACAAGTACAGAAGTAGTACTGGGCCAGTTCAGAGGTGGGTTTCCACAGGTCACTACTAAGCTGCTAGAACATGATAGATTTAGTTACTATGTAACTAAACCGCTAAGTGTTAAAGTTTGTTAACCTAACTTGACTGTCTCTATCGTGTGGCTGACTAAACAATTACAAAGCGAACATGGATCGGGATCACATGTTCATCAGCAAAGCCCCCCTCCTCCCCCTACGACAAACTGACCAATTGACCAACTACACGCCTGCAGCCTGGAGAGTGCAAGTGGTTGTGCAGAATGTTTGTGGTCCATCTGTTAACAAGGAAGCCCTAATCTATAGGTCTTCGCGACAACGCAATAGGAAACTCGCATCCTGTGAGCCTTATCGCAAAGACGAGGTTCGTTGTGATCATGCACAGCCTACGTGCTCACGTTGTCGAAAGCGCGGATCTGCACATCGATGCCTTTACCATCCAGCGCCATAAGATTCACTAGACCGACTTCCAGGGCCTGCTAAGGTTGATGACCAGATCGGCAACAGCACGCTGATGTCGCATCTGCCCCGGAAAGTCGAATCATAAACCGGAGGGTTGATTCCCGCGCAAATGTCCCTTTACATGCCGGATATTTGGGCCCCATGAATTCCATAACATGACCATCATCGACGCTGGCGATGCGATCAATTCCCATGGTCACCTGGAGGTGTCTGAGGCCCAGTCCAGTAGTTTCAGCTGTTCTGTGCCTTTCAAGGAAGTTGAGGGGCTTTGGAAATGCCTGCGGGAATTCCCTCTTATGAAGGGCTCTCGAAGTTATTACTATACAATGAGTCAGGCTGCTGTTGTTCCTGCTCCGTTCGTACACCGAGCCCTTGCTGAGGTAGGTCACGTACGACGCCATTATGGCATTGGAAACTTAGAAATGAGGAGAATATCACTCGGTGAGGAGACATAACTATGGTCACCTGGGAGACATCGATTACCTTTGCATGCTCAAATTCGACATTTGAAGTGTTAGGCACCGATGTCGGCCCCTTTTTTTGGTGGTTGAGCGCCATAGAATTATATGTTTCCATGTGCCTAACCAACACTGTGCTCTTCCACAACGGCTGGCTCAGTTCTCCTCTCAGCCTACAATCTTCAGAATCCAATCCACCACGAGTTCCGGAGCACTTGCAACGGGAACATGGCCAGTGGGGATTCTTGTCACGTCTGCCTCCCGCCCACTCTCACTTGCAACCGTATCAATCATCTTCTGCTGCACGTCTGGCGAAATGACCAAGTCGTCAGTGCACAGCAGATACGCGACAGGGACGTTCTTGTACCCGGCATACGTCAAGGCATTAGCCAAGCTGGTTGCTGAATGGTGTGTGAACTGTCGAGCCCATGTCATACCCTCGTCGTGGGGCATGTCGGAGAAGGCTGTGGCTGCGAAAGCCGCGGTGTCAACGAGACTCATCCATCCTTGATCATCGACGGAGATGTCCATAGGAAGACTACCCAATACGTCCGCGGTCGACCTGCCCTCGGGAGGCACCACGGCCGTCATATACGCCAGGCGTACCACCCCACCAG